ATTACAGGCTTTGGCCACCGCGCCAGGATGGTCTTGATCTCCTGACCTCGTGATCCGCCCGTCTCGGCCTCCCAAAGTGCTGGGATTATAGGCTTGAGCCACCGCGCCCGGCCCATTCTTCAGATCTTTTAAAACGAGAATCCAGCTGGGCATGGTGGCTCACACCTGTAATCCCAGCACTTTGGGAGGCTGGATCATCTGAGATCAGGAGTTCGAGACCAGCCTGGCCAACATGGTGAAACCTCGTCTCTACTAAAATACAAAAATTAGCTAGGCATGGTGGCGGGCACCTGTAATCCCAGCTACTTGGGAGGCTGAGACATAAGAACTGCTTGAACCCAGGAGGCAAAGGTTGCAGTGAGCCAAGATCACACTATTGCACTCTAGCCTGGGTGACAGAGTGAGACTCTGTCTCAAAAACAAGTAAATAAATAAAAATAAATAAATAAATAAAATGAGAATATGTTGCGTGTTATTTGTATAATTTAAAAGTAGAGGGCTGGACGTGGTGGCTCACGCCTGTAATCCCAACACTTTGGGAGGCCAAGGCGGGCAGATGATGAGGCCAGGAGATTGAGACCATCCTGGCCAACATGGTGAAACCCCGTCTCTACTAAAAGTACAAAAATTAGCTGGGGATGGTGGCACGTGCTTGTAACCCCAGCTACTCAGGAGGCTGAGGCAGGAGAATCCCTCGAACCCGGGAGGCAGAGGTTGCAGTGAGCCAAGACCGCACCACTGCACTCCAGCATGACGACATAGCAAGACTCCGTCTCAAAAATAAATTAATAAATTAATTAAATAAATAAAAGTAGAAAAAACTTTTAAAATAAAGTAGGTTTTAAGGTCTAATGTGTTTAAAAAAAAAAAATAAGTAGGGACAGAAAAAAAAGAAAAAGAAAGAGAAAAAACTCCAGTTCTAGAGCCAAAAAGACCTAGGTTTGAATCCTGGCTCTGCTATCTGTAAAACTCTAAGCAAGTTACTTACATTCTCTAAGCTTCAGTTTCCTCACCCATACAATAGGATAAATATTACCAACGTTTCCTCCGATGTTAGGTGGATTTAATAAGAGAACGCACGTAAAATACTAGCATTGGCCGGGCGCGGTGGCTCAAGCCTGTAATCCCAGCACTTTGGGGGCCGAGATGGGCGGATCACGAGGTCATGAGATCGAGACCATCCTGGCTAACACGGTGAAACCCCGTCTCTACTAAAAAATACAAAAAACTAGCCGGGCAAGGTGGTGGGTGCCTGTAGTCCCAGCTAAGGCAGGAGAATGGCGTAAACCCGGGAGGCGGAGCTTGCAGTGAGCTGAGATCCGGCCACTGCATTCCAGCCTGGGTGACAGAGCAAGACTATGTTTCAAAAAAAAAAAAAAAAAATACTAGCATAGTGCCTGGCATAACAGAAGTGCTCCAAGGATACGAGCCATTAAAACATCCAACCTTCCTGCTCGGCTGCTCCTCAGGCTGAGCCTTTCCTCATCCCCAGCTTTTCTAATTCGTGATCTCAAAGCTCCTTCCCCTCTACCACCATCCTTTGCCTACAGCTTCAACCAAAACCTCTTCCCTCCCCAATATGCTAACCTCAGTGATCTGTCAGGACGGACCAGAGGGTGATCCCGCTCAGTGACCTCCTCCACAGCCTGAGAGAGGGCACAGAGCCCTGAAAGCTGCAGGTTTGTGTCCAAGCTGGATATCTGCACAGTGGCCACGACCGCTGCCACATGTTGATCCAGGGAGCTGCGAGGACCGGGACCCCGCAAGGCTCTGGCCATTTCTGAAATTGGTGGGAAAAGGCAATGGCTAAAAGAACTGTGGCACCTTGAAGTTAGAAGTCTTTAAAGTCAAGCCCAGTTATCCTACCAATATTTAAATACATTATCGGCTACTGCAGCTTGCATAGTTTTCCAATTCTGTGTCAGGGATCTAATGATCAAACAAAGGAGATGAAGACACCACAGAAAAAGGACCCTCCTTTTCCAGAGATACTGAAGGGAGCGCTGGTTAATTAAATACAATCAAGGTCAAAAGGAAGAAGATGGACACATGGTTCCAAGGCATTTTCCCCTGCAAAAATGACCTTCTTCCATGGTTTTCCTTCAATCCTGACTATCCATTTCTTCTACTGAGACCACCCAGGACCTGTTCCAATTGCTTCCTCCCAGAACCTGACTCACCACTGGCTGACTCCTTCATCTCAGTGGGCAGGGTCATCCCCTCAGTCACCAGAAGCTGGTTAAACAGCTGCGAATCACTCTGTGCCATGGGGGGCTCAGTCCTTGTCTTGGTGGGCTCGGCCTCTGTCTTAGGGGCCTCGGCCTTTGCTTTGGGGGACTCAGTCTCTTCCTCTGAGAAGTTGGCCTCCGACTTGGACTCCTCTTCTGGATCTGGGGTACAGGAGTGATTTCGTGAAGTAGACGAGCTGCTTCGTTCATCAGACAGCAGCCCATACTTGGTGTAGATCTGGGAGTTGAGCAGGTCATTGAGAGTGCTGCCCTCAAATCGACTACTGAGAACCTGCAGCAGACTCTCAGCCATCTCCACGGACACAGAGATCTCACCTAGGGCCTTTTCACCCAGAGTCTGTCAACAGAAGGGGTATACGTTTAAGAGATAAGCAGACACAAAGGTCTTGGGGTCAGTAACGGGAAGGGTGATCACTCCCCACCACGCCCCCACACCTTCTACATACTAAACCCTCACAGCACTTGCCTCTGCCCCCCAGCAGGACTTCTCCTAACTCTAACCTCTAGCTCCAGCCTCCCCCTAGTGGTATCCCCTGTCTGAAACTCCTTCTAGAGAATCCCACCTCTAACCCTACTAGAAAATCCCCAGGTATCTCAGGCCTATAATACCTCATCCACGTTCTTCCAAAGATTCTGGAAAATTGGCTGCTGCTCACACAAGTCCAACTTTTTGATAAAGAAAAGCAGCTCCCACCATTCAGCCTGGGTCAGATATCCCACTCTCTCATTCTTCTGAGGTTCGGGCTGGAGATACGGCAAAGGGTAGAGCCCATCCATAGGATTCCAGTCCCAGGAGGGAAATGCTGAGGACACAGGCATGGTGGGGATCAGCACCCCTCAGGAATGGGGTCCATTTCTGGACCCCTAGGACTGCTCCTGGTCAGAAGTGGCTTCATCCCAGTCACTACTCCTCTGTTCAGAGACAAGCTATCCATGTCCCCTCTTAGGCTCACCTGTGCCCAACACAGTAGCCCCTGCCCCCTTCTCCACAGCTGCTGAAGCCTTATCCTCAGTGGCTTCCTCAGGGCCCAGGATCTCCAGCATGTGCCAGTGCACCCAGTAAGTGCGGCCTGTCGACTGCCAGAAAACCTGGTATGAGGGAGGAAGAAAGAGGGCAGAATAGAGAAGGCTCAACCATCTGAGCCTTGGCCTGTGAAGGCTTGAAAGGACATGCCCAAGCATAGATTTGGGGCGCACCCTCACATACACAGCTGGCTAAGCCTGGAAAAAACCCCATATGGCAAAAGGCTTCCTTCCCTTATCAGGAGTGGGCCCTGCCTCTTCTTAACCATGATGTTCTCTGCTTCCACATTCCTTCCTAGCCTCTTCCACTGGTGGTGGTGGGGAGGTATCTCCATTTATCAGTTCTGCTTCCTGGGTGAGTCTCCCATGAACTTACAGTTCACCCACACCCCACACCCCTGCCAGATTTTCTCAGCCCTCCAAATGCACCCCCCGCAAATGCCAACCCCCTTGTATCATTCCAATTCCCCAAGGGGGTTTCTTCTTGGGTGGCCTGCAGGAGTCCGCTGTATGAAGTCCCAGCTATACCCCACCCCAAATAAACTCCCAACAGTGTCTCACCACCACGTGCTGCCCACCTGCACAGGGGGAATGCCGTTGTTGCTCTGCCGGAACTCGCCCTCGTCCCCAGCACTGATCTCCTCATAATCATCCAGCATCCGCACTCGCATCCCCGGCTGCAGCGTCTGCTGCACATATTCTCCATAGCCACTACGGCTGGAGAATTCAGAGCGCTGGCGGAAGACCCACCCTTGTCTTCTGGGGGTGGTGACAATGGTGGGGAGTAAAAGGCTGGGGCCTGAAATGTAGGGCTGAAAGATGGACCGGGTTGGCCGGGGAGGTGACATGCCCTGTTCGCTGAGGTTCCGGGCCCAGCCCATGCTCCGCACAAGCTCAGAGATGAGATTGCCCACAGCCATGCTGAACTCCAGCTCCCGCTGTCCCCGGCTTTTCTCTCTTGTGGCACATGGGGAGCTTTGGTCTCCAGCTCCCAGCTCTGGACTGTTATTCAGCTGATCCAGGAGGGAGGTGACACAAAGGTAGCGCTTCACCAAGGAGAAGAGCAGCTTTCCTGGGATCTGTAAGGCACAATACTTGGGACAGGTTCATCTCTTCCTGGCTTTAGCCTCTCCCTTTCCCCCCAGTATCCTCCTCTACAGAAAAATATAAAGGCCTTCTCCCCAGGCCTGTAGTTCTCCAACTTTGATTTGTGTAAGAAAGGCACACGGAGTGTCTTAAGACACAGATTTCTGGGTTCTCATCTCAGAAATTCTGAATGGAGAGGGGCTGAGAGGGAGGACATGAACCTTCATGTTAACAAGTTCCCAGGTGGCTCTGGTGCTAACATTCAGTCCTGAACCATGTTTTCAGAAATAATGCCTCAGCCCTTGTACACAGCATTTCCCTACAGCCGGTAGTGTACCTGAGGCAGATGAATGCCCTCAAAGGCCATGCAGTGTTCTTCAGAGGATGTGGTTTCTGCAAACAGCTCCAGCAATGTATAGCGACTGTCAAAATCCATGTGCTGCTCGATGCCATCTTGCTGGCTCAGTGACAGAAGGACGTGAGCCCGACTCCCTGTAATCCATACCCAATCCATAACTTCTCCTCAATCCCCAGTACTTTCTCCCTGCCTTTCCTAGATTCTACCTCCTATCCCAGAGGATTTCAAACTTTGTTACTAAGACTCACAGCAAGAAATATGTTTTATATGGTAACCTGTTACAAACATACATACATATAACTGAAATACATTTTATGGTACAAAATTTACCCCTACTAAGTGCTACACACTAATGACTTAAGTTTTTTTTAAAATGTTGGTTGTAACCCACCAAATTGATTTCAAAACCAACTAATAAATCTCAATCCAGTTTCAAAAATACAGATAAATCCTATTCTCTTCTCTGGTCAATGCACTGAGAATGAACAGATAAGCCAGAGGCTATCATTTTAGCCTCTTTATACACCTGAAATAGCCTATGAATCTGTATTTTTCCTTTGCATCAAATTGATATTCACCAAATACTAGGTGTTCTTACAGAGCTAGAAAATCTCTCCTCTTTCTGTTCTTACTCCCTGTGGCCCCATTTTCTCCATTGTTTTCCTTCTTCCCTGGCTGTCTCTTACCAGCATCGTGGGCTGCCAGAGCCTGCAGCATTTTGCCTGCACTCCGGCGGATCTGAGGCTCAGGATTGCACAACATGTGCATAAGCAGGTCCAGGGCTCCTGTCTCCCTGAAGACACCAGTGAGGGGCCCGATGCTGGCGTAGGCACTGAGCACGTGGATGGTGTGGAGCACAGCAGCCGTGAGGCTTGGGGTCCCACTTTCTGCCAGCTGCCTGGCTGCCCTGCGTACCAGCACCTGCACATCAGCCTCCATCTCTCCCATTGCCACTTCATCCGGGCCTCCTGGATCTCGAGGAAAGCTTCCTGAAACCCCAGCTGGTTCGTGCTGAGGTCCCTTAGATAGTGCCCGCTCACCTAACAGCCCAGGGCAGTTGGCGTAGACCTCAGGAGCTGACAGCCACATGAGGATGTGCTCTGCTTTGCCTTCTTCCACACCCACTTTGCCCACTTCCCCACACTTCAGGACACTCCATCGGATCAGGTATTCAGGATGCCCATCATGCCCAGGCCTCTGTCGAATGAGTTCTTCAGGATATGCCTGCAGCCGAGGCCCTAAAGGCACCATGAGGTCCCCAGCATGCCGTTCCCCGACCATCCTGACCTCCTGGGATATATAAGGAGAAAGATAAGGCAGTATGAGAAAATAAAAAAAATACAGAGGGGGTGGAATCTTGAGACACAGAGAAGGTGGGTGGTGATCGGTAGGCTGCATGGTAGAATTTAGGAGGCCAAACAGAAAAGGCAAAAAATAGGATGGAATAAATAGCTGAACATACTTTGGGATTTATAACAGAAGGAGAATGGAGTGAAGACAGTGAGGGGATGAAGAGATTTAAGAAATGGAAGAGTTGGCTGGGCCTGGTGGCTCACGCCTATAATCCCAGCTCTTTGGGAGGCCAAGGTGGGCAGATCACCAGGTCAGGAGTTCAAGACCAGCCTGGTCAACACAGTGAAACCCCATCTCTACTAAAAATACAAAAATTAGCCGGGTGTGGTGGCATATGCTACTCAGGAGGCTGAGGCAGGAGAATCACTTGAACCCAGGAGGCGGAGGTTGCAGTGAGCCAAGACCGCACCACTGCATTCCAGCCTGGGCAACAGAGCGAGATTCTGTCAAAAAAGAAAGGAAGAAAGGAAGGGAGGAAGGGAGGAAGGGAGGAAGGGAGGAAGGGGAGTTTACAAAAAGATAATGAAAAGAATAATAGGCAAGGTAACAATAAACAGTGACAGTTAAGCAAGATAGTTTAGGCAGGATAGCAGGGTGGCTGAGGATTACAGATTAGGATTTAGAAGGATGACATGGGTGGACAGGAAGCACAGCAGCATGAGAGGCAGTGGGGTCAGAACATGTGAGGAAAAGTAGGACAGTGGAGGGGCATGACAAGGAGCATAAATGACAGAGTAAAGCTGCAAGATGGATGCAAAGGGTGGGCCATGGCAGATACAGAGAACAGAGATGACAAAAGGCTGGGATGTTGGGGCAAATGACTGGATAGGAAAAGTGTTTTCGAGTCTTGTGAAAGGGGGAGGGCCCTAGGGACCAGATAAAATTATGGGAAAGATGACCAGGTCCCACCCTGCACTTATGCTGTATGTATGGTAAGGATCTAAGTAAGTCAGGTAGATAAGATAGAGGTGGCAATCACTGGGTTAAAGGTAGGAAATGAGGTCAGGAGAGAAGCAATATTCAGAGATTTTAGTGTCAGATAAATGTGACTCTGAATTCTGGCTCTTTGTCTCACTGTCTGCATAGTCTGGAACAAGTTACTTAACCTCTGAGCTTGTTTCCTCTTCTGCAAGATGGTAGTAATATTCATAGTTACTTCATGAATTTAAAAAAGATCATGTATGTAAAGCACTTGGAACAGCATCGAGCACATGAGTGTTCAGTAAACATAATCTATTATTATTCTTAGATGGAGAAGGTAGGGGAGTCATCAAATAAATGCAAAGTTATTAAGACCAACTATAAATGGGAGTGGAATGATCAGGAAAGATATGAGTGATATGAAGCAGTGCAGGAGCAACAGGGAATAGTGAGAATAAGAATGGAAGAAGGTAAACCCAGATGAAGATATGGGTGGTCAGGGCAGGGGTCATGTTGGGGTACAGGGACAGAAGATTAGAGTAGAAGTGAAGAGGAGGGAGAAAGAAGGATGTGGACCTCAATGGAAGTAGGGGTCCACTTAGGATGGGGGGCAAGCCTGGATGGTAACCAGCGATGTGCCAGCGGGCAACTGATTAGCAGCAGGGGGAAGTAAAACAATCGGGTAGGAGGAGGTGGGGGGATGTAATGTGGGCCTAGGAGAGCAACAGTGAACTGAGGTGTGGGGGTGAGGTCTGGACGCAGGGATGAGACCAGCAGATAGCAAGGTCAAGCCCAAGCTTGCAGAGCTGTGGAGGAGGCCAGCACTGCAGAGGGAACAGGTTGGGGGGAGGGGGGAGGATGTTTGGGGGCGCGGCCCAAAGAAGCTGAAAAGATCCAGTGAATCTCAGAGAGCAAGACCTCCTTCCCTTCGTCAGCCCCATGGACAGTGGCTAAAGAACCGGGGAGGAGACAGGAAAAGGGGAGGGACCGGGTCGGCGCAGAACTCTCCTCTCACCTCCCACCGCCCGGCTCAGCCCTCGCTGGGACCCAGCGGCCGGTCCCGCCGTCCTGGCCCCGCCTCTTCAGAGCTCCCTTCCGGGTCACACGGCGACTGCACGCACGGCCAGGCACCTACGGGTCCCACCGCGGCCCACGCCGAGCGTGGCGGAACAGCGCGCGAGTGGAGCATGCGTGCTACCGCGGCGGCTGCATGGGGAGAGGGTCGTGGGGGCGCGCTCCCGGCGGAGCCAGGGATCGAGGTCACGTTGCTCCTCTCTTAGCAGCAGGAAGAAGCCCCCTCCTCTTCACTGGGTCGGCTCTCCTAATCCTCCCTCTCCCATCACAGCGATCATGCTGACGAAACATAGTAACGCACACTCCCACCTTAAGGCTGTCCTTTTTGACTTTTCAGTAGGTCACGTGCCCATGAGTTTCCCAAACCCTTCAGCAATGCTTTGGATTAGTTGTGTCACTTTTCCTGTTAATTATAATTGCTCCTCTGCGTTGGCCTTAACACCTAGCAAAACCACGCACAGGGAGAAGGTCCGCGGCCACCCGCAAAACATTCCTTAAATTAAATCGTATAGAATTAAACTGCCCAAAGCACACCTTAGCATTACTGTTCTCATCAAGCAGCCCAGATCGCTACTCAGAGCAGCAATTTTAGGAGTTTGCCTCGCGTTCATACCCCCGTCCCTCCCTAAGTAGAAAAACAGAGCCAAAGACCCCACAGTCTGTGCACAAAAATGATACATTTATTGAAAGAGTATTTTTTTTTTAATACAAAAGAAAGCTCTGTACATAGGACTGTGACCATGTCCACTATTCCTGGGTCAGCATCCCAGGGGAAGTAGAAACCACTGACATACACACTCACATTCACGCACACACACTCAGGCACACACACACACACATACCCCAGAGCCACCGAGGAAGGGAAACACCAAGGGTCGCTGCACATAAAAATGCCACCTCAACTCATCCCTGACACACGTATGTCCTCCCAAGGCCACGCTCACACAACACACATTATAAGCACTTTGCCTGATTCACTCACGGGGTCTGTCTTTTGTGGGAAGGAGAGGAAGAATTCATCAAAGGTCTCCTCCCATGGGTGGGGGAGTAGGGAGTGAGTGAGTGGTGGTGGAGTGAAACAAGAGCAGAGAAAAGGGGCTGGGCAGTTACAGACCTGAGTCCCAAGCTCCCCTGCTCTCTGGCCCCTGATTTGCCATGCCCCAGCCTTGAAAGCCACCCATAAGCCCCAGCTATCTCCAGGAGAAAGCCCAGAAAGGTGACTTCCATCTTGGCACCCCAAACTGGGGCAAGACAGCAATGAGGGTTAGAGGTTAGGGGGTTCTCAAACATGTCGGCAAATCATCCCCTTGATAACTAGGCTGTGCGTAAAATCTTCCCCCACCCCTTCACCTAATCACAGAAGCCAGCTTGTTCCTACTGAAGGCAGTCTTGGGGTTAAGAAAATTTCACCCCACTGCTGCCCCGTTTCTGAAAAAGCTCCCTTTCTGGATATAGGTGGTGAAGGTAGGCTCTGACACAGGGTAAAAGACCCTCCCCCCTATGCTGGCCCACCCTCAAGGTCTACCCCAAAGGGGGAGGAGGGGGGTGGGGCATGGCCCCTGTACAAATTACATAAATACTGAGGTTACACTTAGAAAAATAAATTCATTTTCTTCAAGGCTTTTTGTCTTAATTTAAAAAAGTTACAGTAGCTGCTCACTCCCTGGGAGAGCTGCCCATTTCTGGCTCCCCTTTGGCTGCATTCAGCCCAAGAGCTGCTCCCACTTCTTCTGACCCCCATTCCTGCCTCTCACCCCCTCCCAGACCCCACCCTGCTCACTGCAACTTGGGCCCCAGGCAGCTGCAGGCCTGGGACAGCACAAGGCTGCAATGCCCATGCGTGTGGCACAAATGAAGTCGGTTGCCTCCGCCTGACACCCTCCCACCCCCACCCCGACATTTGGTCTCCCTCTTCCCTCTCCCTAGCAACAGCCCTAAAGGGCAAAAAGAGGCCCAGAGCTGTGGGTCACCCTCCCCACCCCGTTGGGGCATGGCCTGAGGGCCCCTCCCCCGGCTTTCTCCTGGAAACAACCCAGGACTGGGCAAACCCAGAATCTCCCCCACACACTGGCGGACCCCGAGCTCGTGGGGTGGCTCTGTCCCCAGGGGCCCAGCCAGTTCTGGGGAGCCCTTGGGCTCCCCAGGGAAGGGGAGTTTGGGCAGGGAGGGGGACGAGAAAAACGCCATAAAAAAAAGTTAAATATTTTAAAAATATATATTTATAGATTTGTTTTCACTTCGTCTCCTCAAATAAAAAGTTCAAAATCAACTTTAAGTAAAGCAGCTGGGAGGAGAGGGGGGAAGACAAGGGGGAGAAGGGAACGCTGGTGGTTCCCTCCAACCCAGGATCCCCTGGAGGTCCAAGGGGAGCGGCAAGGCAGGGCAGGCAGCCCCAGGAACCTGCCCAGTGCACAGGCCCAGCTACTCAGGAACTGAAGGGGCAGAGGGCAGCAGTGTGAGGGAAGAAGCCCCTGTCTCCCCAGCTGGCCCCCTGAGGGGCAGGGGCAGGGCTCTTTTGACCCAGCCTGTGGCAGACACAGGGCTGACCTGGGGTCAGCAAGGAGGCTAGCAAGAGGGCCCCAACTGCTTCTTTAGAGGAGGACACAGTGCCCAGCCCCACAGAAGGCCTGTGTGTGGGGAGGCGGGGCACGGTCCCATTGGGTAAGCTAATACTCATGGCAAACATCGAGCCAAGCTGGCGAGGGGGTCCCAGGAAGGAGGACGGCCCCTCCATCAACAGAAATGGGAGGTGGGGCGGGAAGAAGGGGAGGCTGAGGGAGGACGGGTGGAGGCAGGCAGGCCCATTTCTTTGGCTGGAGTGAGAGGGCTCAGTCCTGTGGCTGCCCGTTCCTCCTCCCCGCCTCCCTCCTGCGGCCCGTCAACGTGTGTATAAAGAAAACGTGAAAAGGCAACAATAAATAAGTGGTGCCGTCCCTTGGGCCATCTGTCCAGGGCGGCGGGCGGATCATTCACTCTTGGTGCTGTGGGCGGTGTCCAGGTTCACCACCTGTAGCTCGGTGAGGTTGCTGCTGCTCCCGGCCTGCTGCCCTATCACAGCCATCTGGAGGGAAGGGGGTGAATGAGGAGAGGCAGGGACTGGCCAGCCGGCTCAGGCTCCCCTGGCTTCCCTGCCTGCCAACCACAGGCCTGAGCAGAAAAGCAGATGGGCTTCCAGGCTAGGGATTTTGGCTTTGATGAACAGGATCCCCCAAGGTCAAGACAAAGAAGTGGCTATCTGGGATGGGGTGAAAGATATCCCTGCCTACCTGGTGGAGCTGAACTGCTGAAACAGGGATCTGCACTGTCCCAGATGATGCTGTCAGGAACACCTGGGGGACGCCACCTACATTGGAAAACCACAGGAGATACTCACATTGTTTGTTGAAACTTCCAGATATTAGAGGAGTGGTGACAAATGCACAAGTGACCGGGGGAGTCTCAGATGTAAGAGCCCAAGGGAAAGGGTGCCAGTGTCTGAGGGTGCATGTGGGTGTGAGTGTTCAAGTGTGCATGGGTATCCAAATGTGTATGTAAGCATCCAAGTCTGTGTTGTATTTGGGTAGAAATATTTGTAGGCATCAGTGCATACATGTGTGTGTGCATGTGTGTGTGTGTATAAGGAAGGAAACGGTCCTCCTTTCCTTAGCCCTGTTCCTCTACTCACCTGGCTCCTGGACCTGGCTGTGGGACACCTGCATGGTAGATGGTGCCTGGGAGAAGGCATTCAACACGGTGAGGCTGCCATCACCCAGGCCTGAGGTGGGGGCATACATCACCGCATGCGGGCTAGGGTACATCATGTGGCCACCCACAGTTGTGGGCACGGATGACGTCATGATGGTGGCGGGCAGCGTCACTGGCAAACACAGACATGTGTCAGCTCGGTACTGGTCCCTACTGATATCTCCCATTCCCTAGGAATTCCAGGCCCCCAGAGCCCTCTTGCCATTTCCCAGGTCAGAAGCTAGACACGACTATTCCTCCGCTCCATCATCAACTAAGAAAAGCCTATTTTTTCTTGAACACAACAGCATCAATCTTTAATTGTATCCTATCACATTGTACTATTCAACTGTCTATCTGCTGAATTCTCTAAGTCCCAAATCTTGGGAAAAACAAAGATTATGACTGACCTACTCTCAGAAAACTCAGATACTTCCCTTTTAGGGAACTCTAACATCTTATTTTTTGTTTGTTTTCATTCTCCCTCCTTCTTAATGCACAGCTAACAAATTCATCTTTCAAACAACCACTTCTCAAATGTTAATGTGCATTATATGGGAATCTTGTTAAAACACAGACTCTGGGCTGGGTGCAGTGGATCACGCCTGTAATCCCAGCACTCTGAGAGGCCAAGGCAGGCGGATCATGAGGTCAGGAGATCGAGACCATCCTGGCTAACACAGTGAAACTCCGTCTCTACCAAAAATATAAACAAACTAGCTGGGCATGGTGGCGGGCGCCTTTAAGTCCCAGCTCTCGGAAGGCTGAGGCAGCAAAATGGCGTGAACCCGGGATCCAGAGCTTGTGGTGAGCCAAGATCGCGCCACTGCACTCCAGCCTGGGCGACAGAGTGAGACTCTGTCTCAAAAAAAAATAAAAAAACACGGACTCTGATTCAGTAGGTTTGGGGTAAGACTCAATATTCTGTATTTCCAACAAGCTCCCAGGTAATGCTGGGTGTTCCCAGTCCAGAGGCCACACTTTGAGTAATAAGGTTATAAATAATAAGAACTTAAAATTAACTTTATTTTCAGAGTATCTCATCATTTCTAAAATGTCTAGAGATACCTGAGGGTAACTGTGGCTACTCAAAACCTGTAAGACCCTCACACAAAGAGAAAATTGCTCTCTAAGTCCTTCTTGATAATTAAGCAAACGTGTCTTTGAGCAAGTAATTTCTTATTTCTAGGCCTCAGGCTCCTCATCTGAATGAGGAGGTAGCATCAATGGTCCCTAATTTTCTTCTGGAATCCACAGCCCACTGCAGGGTGGGATTCAAAATTCAGTCATCCTCACCTGACTTTCCCATAATTATTAGGCCAAAAGCCTCAATCTCCACTTTAAGAAATCCCTTGACTTTAGTTATAGGAGGGTTACTGTTGGGCACCTACTGCTAGGCCGCGTGGGGGAAGGCAGGGAGGGAGGGTGACAGGGCTGCGAGCTATACCTGTCCCGCTGGAGGAGGTCTGCGTGAGGTCTGTGCTGCTGTCACGGGAGGGAGACGCCTGCTGTGGGGCCTGGTGCACTTGAATGGCCTGCACTGGGACCTGCTGGGCCACTGCCCCACCTGCAAAACACAGAGTCTTATTTGTGCTCTGTCCCACCCAATTGCCACCTCCACCAAGGACCCATGGACACCCCAGTCCCAGGGTCTGGCACACTGGTCCCCAACTCCCATCACTATCTTTCCTGGAAGCCAAAGAGGCCCTTCATGCCCGAATCTCCCCTCTGGGGGCTTCCACACTCTGCTCTTGCCCATCCCTCCTCCTCCTGCCCTGGGCCTTGCCTCTCTTTTCTTCAGTTGACCCAAGAGCTGGCAATAACCCATCAAGGACATGATCTGCCTTCCAGTCAAGGCAGGAAGTGGTGAAACGTCTACTGCCCTGTGGCAATAGGGGCACGGGGCTGGGGTAGCTAGACAGGGCCAGAATATATGGTTGAAACTTACTGACAAGGACAGCAGGGGTCTCAGTGGGCAGAGGTATGCCTGCCAACGGGACATAAGAGGCTTCTCTCAGGCTCTGGCCCCTATTCACCTTCCTTCTGAGCAGGGAAAGAGGTTCTCTTGGTGCCAGCCCTAAACACACTCTTAGCATGCTTGATTTGCCCCAGAGAGGACGAATCTCTCCCTTCCCCTCGTGACTCACCAGGCATGAGGGTGAAGCTGGTAGGCAGCTGCATAAGGCCCCCAGAGGAGACAGGGCCGCTGCCTGTACTCTTCAGCACAGTCCCATTGGCACTGCTGACAGCACTGGGGCTGACACTAGCAGACACTGGTGCCAGGTAGTTGGTGATGGGAAAGGAGGGGCCGCTGCTGACTTGCATGGTGGTAGAGGTGCTAGGTGCTGTTTGGATGGTAGAGGTTGTACCCGGCAGGTTGGTGACTGTGAACGCCGGCTTCAGTGTGTCCTATACCCAGAGTAAAGATGAAGCAATGAGCCTCTACCAGACCCTGCCTTTGCAGAAGTTTTGTGTGGACTGAGAACCCAGACTGAAACCAGTGAGCTTGGGTTCAAATCCCAACGCCACATTTACCTGATGCCTCACTCTTGGGTAAGTTATTGATATACTCAGCTACAGTTTTCTATCGGTAAAAGGAGGATAATACCTACCCCTTAGGTTGCTGTAAGGATTAAGTAGGTTAGCATACGTAAATCACTTAGAAAACAGTACCTGGCACATAAAAAAATAAATATTTGCTGCTCTTATGATGATGATTATCATTTTCATCATTATAATCCCCTGAGTCCTCTGCTCCAGTGGACTGTGGTAATCCCATTGGCTGGGGAGTCAGGACACCAAAGTCTGTTCCTAGCTCTGGTAATGACCATCTAAGTGACCCTGAAATAACCACTCCCCTTTTCTGAACCTCGGTTTTCTTCTTCTATAAGCATAAGGGGGCTGGGCTGCTATGTTTTCTTTAAGAGTTCTTCCAGTTCTAATTTGTCAGGCTTCTGAGATATGAACTGAGAGTTTCTCGGGGAACTTAAGAGTTTGAGAGAGATCTTGAGGGTCTGGCAATGACACACTATATGTCAAACACCCAAGATGTAAACTACCAAAAGAATGTACTCATCCAACAAAATTTCCTGGGAATAAATGAGCCCTGCTGTTATAAAAGTTTAAAAATTATTACAGATGATATGCCACTAAGAGAGCGGGGAGCCTACAGCACTGACTCTCTCCTCAGGAAGACTTCCTTCTTAGAAGGGGAAGGAGGAAACTGAGAACCAAGCCACCAAGCCCAGACCCGAACTGAGTCAACCAGAAGCTCAAAGGCTGGGGGGTGGGTCAGCACGAGACGTTTGCTAAGCAGCTGGGCCCAAGACCCTTGATTGGCGGAGGCGTTGCTAAGGCAAACAGTACCGCTTCCTCCCATTGGCCAGTCAGTTAAGTGCCACCCGGAAGGTGGAGCTCCCCAGACAGCAAGGGAGGAAGCCCCACCCCCTCTCCTTACCGGGAAAAGGAAGGGGGAGGAGTAACAGCGCAGGCATCCCTAGCAGCAGGCAATATGCGTTCCCTAACTGCCCAGGCCCCCAACACCCTGAAGGGGCAGGCGGCTGGCTTGTAAGGTAGTCCCCGGTCCAGTCAACTAGCCCGCCTGCTAAGAGTGCTGGGTTCTCAGGACCCCGGAACCGGAGTGCTCCCTTTCTACTCCCTGGCGACCAAGCCCAGAGGGCCGGGCTAAGCTACACCCCCGCCCCTAGCGGGGAGACAGCTGGCGGGAGGAATGCAAAGGCCCTGCCAGGCAGGCGGGCTGCGGGCGGGAGGCCGGCGTGGAGCCCGAGCCGGCCTTATATGGGCACGGAGGCCGCCCGCTTATCTAGGGGGCCGGTCTTCTATCAGGAAAGTGAGGATGGACACCTGTCCCCTAGGACAAGGGTCGTTAATCAGGCTCCACTCCACATCAGTGGGCACCTATCCACCTGCCCTGGGCCAGAAAGAGAGAGGGACCCCCCTCCCTTCCCTCCTCTCACATAGGCAACCCAAACACACCTTGGTCTCCCCACTGCTGTCAGACTCCGACACCTGGTAGGTGAGATCTGTCTCTTCAAAGCCAGTGGCACTCATTCTCTGGTCTGTTGTGGGGTCTGAGCGGGGTGGAGAGTCTGGAGAGTTGAGGCAGGTCTGAATCAGTGCCTTGCCGGTCTCACTGGTGATCATGGGCTGCAGTTTTCGTGTGGCAAAGGTATACACATGGCCTGTCTCACTGGCCACCAGCAACAGCACCTGTGTCCCTGTCAGCGTGGACAGCTCATAGGCCTGAGGGGTGAGGACGGAGATGGGCAGGTCAGCAAACTTTTTATCTCTACCTTCTTTGAGAAGTTGGAAAAAGAATTATATAGTGATGTCATTCCCCCATTCCCATAATGACCTTCGTCTCTAGTGATTCTGGGGGCAGGGTGTCCTATCAGGATCTCTGGAAGCAGCAAAACTACCAATGCTCCTCCTTTGAGGAGCAGCCCCATTGACCTGAAGATACCCCAAGCAAACAGTAATAGCCTCCCAGTGATGGAACATATAACCTCAGGGGATACGGAAAGACTCAGCTATAGCTGCTCCCCAACGCAGCTTAGTGCCTGGAAAGTCCCGGAGCCTCAACCATTCTCACTGTCACAGGGACCAGGATGGATCCCTACCTATCACACTGGAATTTGCACATTAGTGATAAGGGACCACTTAAGCTCCAACTGTCCCATGTTTCTTTCCAGAAACTGCACAGGCTCCAACTTGTTGCCATAGCCTAGTTTCTCCTGTTGTCCTGTAATACTTTACTGCCTTTTTTACTTTGTCTTGGGAAGAAGGTTATGGAAGGGGAGAAGAGAATTTTCCTTCATTAATTACCTCCCCCCACAACCTTCTCCACTGATGATCAAGTGACAAGGGACATCGATACAACAGTGTCTGGAGTGAGGGGAGACGAGACCTAGATTAGCACTAAACATCCTGCCATGAGCCCAGGAAGGGGACCTTCAAGGATGGCCCCACAGATGCCATACTCTCCCAACAAAGTTCTACCAACCACCTTGGAAGCAGCTCTGGTTTCTACATGGGACAGAAATAAATACCAGCCAATGTTCCCAAGGATCCAGCTACTTGTCTCCCAATTCTTCTGCTTTCATCCCTTCCCTTATCATCTACACCCCAAAATGACTCTTTTCCTCACCACTTTTCACTGGCTGGCAGAAGAGGAATTCCTAGGTACCTCTGCAAGCCTCCCTGATTTGCCCCAAACCCCATCCATGCATAGATTCTCCCTAGGGCTGGAAACCCCACTTGTCCTAACGGCAGGAGATTCTGCAGCGGGTCCTGCCAGGAGCAGCATGTGGTTCCCAGCGGATGCCATGGAACACTCACGGCCGGCGCGGGACTAGGTTCCTGCTGCTCAGGGCAGCACCAGTTCTCCTGCCCCGCTCCGTTACCTGGTCCCTAACCCTGCCTGTCCTTCCAACCAGCACTACTCTCGTGGTGCCCATTTCCTCCCACACATGCTCGCTCATTGTTGTCATGCAGCTCCAGCCTCCTCACCTCCATACCTTCTCGTTTGCTCCCTGCTTTTCCGGCGCCCTCCTCCGAACACCGGAGTGCACTGGACCTACTGATCCCGGCTTCTCATTATCCACCTCCCCGGCAGCCTCGCAGCCTCCCATGACCGCTCCTCAAACCTCCACTCAGCAAGGGCCCTCCTTCCTCTCTCGCGCCGGTCACTCCCACCTCTGCGCCTTTCCCCAAGGTTCCCGGCGTTCGCGGGATCTCCCCTCTCCCCACATTTCCCCGGCGGCCCCTCCCCTTCGTCCCTCCCCGGGCAGGAGCCATCCCCTCCCACACACCTCCTGCGGACTCGCCGCCTCTCACCTCCGCCTCGGCTCTGCCGTCCTCCCGGGCTCCCCTTGCGCATCCCCACCCTTCCCGGGCCCCGGGGCCAGCCAGCCCGCCGGCTTGGTACCTTCTTCATGATGCCCGTCTTCCTCTTGCTGAAGGTCGTGTAGCGCCGCAGCTTGTTGTCGATGAACTCCATCTTGATCTTCACGCGGCCCCGGGTCTTCTTACCCGGCTTGGCCCCGCTCACCGCGCCGCTCACCGGCCCGTAGCCCCC